TGTGTATGGTACAGCACTATCTTAATAAGTGTGTACAAAAATACGATGCAATAGAAAGAGTGTATCGCAGGCACTCTAAGCGAGGAAAAGTTTTACATAAATGTAGATTGGTAGTAGTTCTTGTCCTTAATTCTCTTAAGCAAGATGGGTGGTAACTCCTATTTATACAGGTGCATATCCTTTGCATAACTAAGAGGAAATGTAAGGAAAAACATAAGTATCAATATATTTGACTGTAATATAAGTAGGAAAAATATGAGTGCGAATGTGTTTGACCCTAAAGAACTGCCAAGAAAATCCTATAAAATATACATAAATTTGAGGTAGTATAAATCCATAATTAGAATATAATTGTAAATCAAATAACTAATGACCGTGCATAATAATACCTAAAATATAAGAAATAAACCTGAACACCAGATAAAAAAGCACGCCATAATCCCCTAATTGTATCATGAAATATTAAACGAAATATATATAAATACATACTCTAGCTGTAGTAATGTTCGTAGTCTAGAAATAATACTAAGTAGAGGAAAACATGATATTATCAAGGAGAATATACATATGAAACAAATTAGAAAATTCAACAATGTTGTATCTCTGGTCAAATTTTGCAATGTCCTGAGTATCACCACTGAAAGCATGAGTACCAAATTGATCCAATGTAGCCACTAGTTGCTGCCTGTAGAGTGTCACCTCCCCAATAATCCAGCTATACTTTGACTTCTTTCCATTGACTTACTAACGCAACTCGAAATCCCTGTTTCTACCTTTCAAGAAACTGATATTTACAATATTCACCAGAAAAGATCTATGGCATCTGGGCTTTTTCAAAACTAGGCTAGTCAGAATGATTGGGTCTGGGTCTAGGCTGGTAGGGAGCAAATTTATAGTGTACTCTGTGGCTGTCTTCCAGGAATGCTCATGACACTCTTCAAACTATGAGATTGTAGGTACCAGAGAAGAAGATATTGACTCACTTGTGTTCAAATATGAAGTGCAGTTAACTCTAAACGTTCATCAGAATTACACTATCTTGTTACCATTCAGCTTAGACCTAATGCAAGAAGGTTTACCATACTGGACATAGGCATGGTACTTGAGCAAGCCCACCTGGTTCCAGTAGTAGATAGGTGATAGCTGATCAACAGTCACATTGATTTAAGGATGTTCAATGAAATACATTGACAAATGTTATGCAGATGCATTGATTATATGACACTCAGAACTTCTAATACTAGACGCAAATCCTACTACCACAAACAAGCAATATGGGCATAGAATGATAAAGGTCTCTAGACCATGAGCTATACATACAGTCACCCATCAAAAGTGTTTGTGATCCCACTAAAATGCCAAGCCTAATTACATAATCAGAAATATGGAGCAATCCTACTGAAGCTTTAACTGAATGCCACCAGTAGTATCTCATGTACCACCCCTTTGCGTCAATTACAGCCTGTACCCTGTCTGGCATAGAATCCAACATTGCCTCAAAATAGCACTCTAGTATCTCCTCCCAAACCTTTGGCAAAACCTCAGCCAACCACCATTAAATTGTTGCCAGACATCCTCACAGGTCTACTATATTGGGATATATCCTCTGCAGAGTACGCTTCATCTGTACCTATAGGTGCTCAATCGGGTTCAGATCAGGAAAGTATGGAGGGTGGTCGTATAGACTAATACTGTGGTGATGAAGGAAGGTTATGGATAGTTTTGCTACATGGGCTCAGGCACCATCCTGCATGAAGAGAGGTTCTAAGTCAATACCCAATAGGTATCACCAAAAGGAAAGTAGCCGTTTTAATAACATTTTCATATAATATTCAGCATTCATTGTCTTTTTGTCATCTAGACAATGAAGCTTTCCACGCTCCAATCTACAGAAACAGGCCCAAACTATTAATGAATCACTTTTGTGTTTAGGCTTAGGGTCACAACACTCAGGTAGCCATTTCTCCCACGGGTGGCAGAACACCCACTGCTGCCTGGTAGTACCAGCTTTTTTAACTGTACACTCATCGCTCAAGATTATACGATACCAGTCCACTAGACTCCAATGCCAGTGGTCCCTTGCCCATTGGAGTCTTTTGGCTGCATGCTCTGCTGTAAGCTTGACTTGGCACTTAGCTAGCCATTTGGGTAGGTTCTGACTTGGCAGGTAGCAATCAAGGATTGACATGCTGACATGGGGCCACACATTAAGCCGAAGCTATCCAATTAGCATATAAATAATTTCACTTAGTGTAACACATACCTCTTCCTTGGATTAGAACTGGTCATTGTTCCAAGCATGTTTAATAGAGCTCTTATCCCGTCGACTAAGCTTTGGGGGCCTCCCAGTACGAGGCAGGTTCTGAATATGACCGCGTTCAGAGGCCCTCTTTAAAAATGTCTGTACCATACTCTCTGATCTCTCCACTAGTCTTGCAACCAAAGAATAATTATGAAAGCACCAAAAGAAGGCAATTATCATGCCTTTAAGTACGTCTGATATTTTTCTTCGCTGGGTTTTTGGTTTGGAAGGCATTGCTGTCAATTCACAGTTGATACAATTCAATTCACGTGACGATGAACAGCCAAATATTTCGCAAGGTGTTGCTTAGTCAGCCACTCGCGAAGACTTTTGATAGGTGGTTGTAGAAATACGAGAATATGATTAAGATAAAGTTGTTAAGAATCCTACCGGGCACGGGGGTGTAACAGGTAATGATTCTTAATACGTATCAAGGTAATAGTTCTTAGGCCGATGCCTACACGATGTGGATAGCTAAGTCCTTTCGACTTCTATCTTATCACGCCTATTCCTCTAATATGCTTAAGTCCTCGATTAGGACTTACTCGTTCGACGTAGGAGGAGAAATTGTTTTCTCGCTTGGGGAGGAAAGATAATTCTCAGGTTTCTTAAGATAAATCTTAAAGAGCGTAAAGGTAGGTTTTTATTGTAATAAATTAAAGGTAGGAAATAAACAAGAAGAATGTGTGAAGAACTAATACTTCGGGGTCCTCACGATCCCTTATATAGTAGTTCTTCACCTGGCATGACTCATACCTTGCGTCACGCAAACCCTGTGACTCCTAACCGTGAGTCATGTGAAATCCATCAGCAGACTCCTATGAGTCACTGCGCAACATACTTAAAACCAATCAAAACATAATAACCAAGTCAGGTACGCAACTCGCGTTACCTGAGTGAAACCCATGACTCATACATTGAGTCATGTGCGAAAGTCATAACATCATGTGACTCACAACTGTGAGTCATGAACAGGTAAACATAATAACCTATGGCGAACTAATGTGCGTTATGTGAAATCCCAACATACCTATAGCTCAGAATTCTGGGCTATGTAAAATCTGCCTTGCTTAGTCACAGTTTGTAACAAAAGTGCTAGAAATCAAGGGTCTGCCAGAGAATCCGCAAACCTGCTATGAGGAACCATGACATGCTTGCCTGCAAGGGGTCATCAATATCGTGGGTAGGGGACACAAGGCAGGCTCTGGTGTCTATCAGCTAGATATAAATGTCGCGGCAATGTAGGGAGGTACTCATATGAATCGCTACCAGCAGACAACATAGTAGAGTATCATCGGAAGTATAGTAGGTGTTCTGTTTCAAGTCAGACGTTATCCCGAAGTGGTGAGAGTAGGCAGGAGGAACTGGATAGATTGTAGGAATCTGGTACGACACCATGAGGAAATCCAGAGAAAGAAGCCAGCAGTGGAGTGTCAGGAGGGTGTGACACTAGGAGCTCATCATAGGGGTTCAAAAGAAGGGTTGGCTACCATAGGTTATTGTCTGAATGTCCCGGTAACAGAGGAGCAGGCCAGGCAGGAATCCTGAGAATGGAGGGTAGGGCAGAGCGTCAGGTAGTGAGGCAGATGCAAGGCCACAAGTGCTGTAATCAGAGAGACAGTTTTACAGTAGCAGTGTAGAGATGCGATCCAGACATTGAACTGAGGGACCAGAGAATACCAGAGGTAAGCATGCGAGGGGAGTAGTGATTGGATACAGGGGATGTAGAAGGGTGTTGGGGCTGGAAGCCCAAATGCACAGGACAGAGTAGAGTATTACAATCAGAATCAGGTTACACCGGACACAGGAGACGCAAAAAAATAAAACTTGGCATCAGGATGTGCCGCCCACACATCAGACACAAAGTTTTTTTTACTGATATTGTTTATCTTTATACTCATACCAAGGTTACAGCTAGAGTACTACAATCTCTAAAATTTACTGGCCTAGTTTTTAGCAGTACTTATCATCTTACCTGACAGCTTAATATTATTTTTATGGTTCAACATTATTCCTGTAGCTCAATACTATTATTATAGCTTAATTTAATTTTTTTAATTCAATATACCTTTAGAGTAAAATATAAAATAACTTTTATTATACAATTATTTGACAGAATACTCCTCTATAAAATCAAATTCAATAAAATACCACTGTAAAAAAAATTTAATAGTATGCTATCTACTACATGTGTTTCAATCTAATATGCTCTATACAGTATATTCCATCTCCAATACTATAGGTCTAATATAGAGTGAAATATATTAAATCAAAACAGAAGCAATTATTTAATAGTATACTTCTTTAGAGCTCAAAATTTAACAAAATACTCTTGTAAAAAACATACCTTAATATAATACCCCTCTATATATCAACTGAAAGATGTAAGAGGTGATAATATAGAAGAATTAAAAGTATAGACTCTATTACATATTTGTTCCTCTTTCAAGTAATAACTATCTTGAGTCCAGCTATTTCTTTCTATTTTCAGCTTTTTTTAATAATAAGTATTACTCTTCTACTTTTATTTACAATTGCTATTTCTCCTCCAATAGTCTCATTATAACTTTGTCATTACAGTAAGCTTCTAAAGCATTCTCTAACTTCAATCCTCAACTGTATTAATAAGTACTTTGTAGTATAACTTGGTAATAAAAATCAAGAAATTAGACCATATAACTTGTATGATATTGTGAAATTTTGTTTGACAACTGATTACCTATTTTATGTTTAGATAATATGGAACTTGAATAGAGAAGCAGAATAAGTTATAATAGTTGATTATTATATTCTAACATACCTACAATCCCATCTTTACTACTTGCTTTTATATATTACTGTAATATATTTAATTTTATCACTTAATGCATTGGGCTATGTTAGACCTATATTGTTGGAGGTGGGATAAACTGTGTGGAGAAGATTTGGTGGAAGAACATGTGGTAGGTGGCATTCTATCAAACATTTTTTTTACAGTGGCATTCTGTCAAATTTGGGTTTGAAGAGGGGTATTCTATCAAATAACCAAACTTATAAACATACAACTCTATAATAATATAATTATCTTAATTCCATATAAAGTATTATATATTCCATATTCTCTTATCCCCCTCTTTTACACCACCGCCTTCCCAAATACCCCACCATGTATACGATATATCTCTATCATATCCAAAAGCCACAAACAGCAAACACTCCCCCATTTTCAGACATCACAACATACCTACGATGCTCCCCGGACCAGGCACAATACGATACAAGTACTTGTACCAAGCTAACTCCTACCCTCCCACAACATTGCCAGATCGCCTCGAAGCAACCAACCCAAGTGTTACACCTATCCTACTGTATGATACTCGAGTAGCCTACCTCTCTTATCGGATCCCCGAGCCAACTTCGGCCTTACGATACGGTACCCCCCCCCCCGATTTTCTATTTTTTATCTCACTTTAAATCCCCAACCACTATTGTACAAACAATCCCTCCACAATCTGCGGAAACAAAAAAAGAAGAAAAAACCAGACATCCATTGCTGTGAACACGGCCGTCACACCGGTAGAAACTTTGGCCTCAATAACTGCTTTGCGGAAAGTCCTTCCAAGTCCTGGTACGGGTACGAGTACTGTACTAGCTCGTTCGCTTCCGGGATCCCTGCACTGTGCCATGCGTTTCCTAGTTAGCTTTCCCGTTCTCGCTTTTCGTTTTCGCTCTTGTTGTCGGGCTAGGTGGTGAGAATGAGGAGCGCTGCACTCCAGTATACCGATAGCATGACTTTGTTCCCGAATTTCATTATCGTACCATACCAGCTTGCTCCGGGGAAAGAGAGGGGGGCTGAGAGCCTGTTTGGATTAGCGTAGATATAGCTGGGAAATGGCAGGTCGGTCGCAAGTGGTAGACTATTTAGGATTTTGGCAGTACTGCCGCTCATTTGTTTGGGCGGTGTAATCTACAGGTAGTAACACTTTAGTCCACTCTAACGTCGTGGGGATTACGTAAAGGTGGGTATGTGATCGTGATGGCTAAAGTATGATACGCGTTAATGGGAAACAAGAAATGCACTATACTATTCATCCATCCATCCATCCTAATTGTTTTGCTTAGCTTAATTTTGCCCAATTGGCTGGTATAGTATGATTGCACCAAGAAAAAGAGTCCAACATAAAGAGAAAAAAACAGGTAAAAAAGAAAAATATGTGCATGAAAGGTGGGAGCGAGGTAAGTAGGTAGGTATCTAGCTAGCAAACATCATGCCGAACGCCGTAATAACACAGTAAGACACAGAGACAGCGATAAAGCTATAGTAGAAATGTAGCCTGATGGTAATAAAGGAGATGGCCAAACAAATGAAAAATAGAAAAAAAAAAGTATAATGTAAAAGGGTGAAAGAGAAAAAAAGCTCTGCCAGAACGACCATTACTGTGCAACCCATTCACTACCTCTCTTCACAAACTTGTCCAGAAGGAGGGAAACATCCGCCAGTACGAAACGACAAATGTAGAATCCAAAGAACTCTGCTGCGTGACGATGGCTAAGCTCTAATCCGACTTTGGTCGATGTCGATACGGCAGTCTTCTTAGGGATGCTGTCCTCGTCGAACACTGGGAGGCGGTCTATAGTAGCGCACATATGTTTATTAGCTCCCTGTTTAATAAACAAAGAAAGAAAGAAAGGAGAAAGGGGAGTCCAAATCGGGAAAAACAGTAGAGTTCATAAATCGCTTACCAAGAATCTGTGCGGCATCAAACAACCTCGCCAAAGCACTTATATAAGCAGCATGAGGCCCGCCAAAAGTGACACCCTCCAGGTTCCTCTTGGGTTGAGAGGAGGAATCTGTCGCGCCTGCGGCCATCGGCAGTCCACTACTACCGTAAAAGCCCCCGCCCGCAAGATTTGACGACGAACCAAAGCTAGAGAGCGCAGTGTTGGAGGACTTTGTACGGAGCTTGCGCAAGGAAAAGTAACTCTTCCCTCCAGTGACGCCGGTGGATTTTGTCACCATGTCATGGGCGTTGCTTTCTGATATCGTGTGCTCGGTTTGGTAAAAGGACCTTGCACCGACTGATCCTACTTCATTACCAAGCTTCTTTGAAAGAACAGTTTGCGCGCGATCGAGGACGCCTTCAAGCGATTGCATCTCTTCATAGAGAGCATGTATGTCGTTATGCTTTACTGTTGCGAGTTTAGCCAATGCTGCGCTGACAAGGTCGCATGCAGAAATCTTATCGTCCACTGCGCGGATTTTAACTCCCTTGATGAACCAGACTTCTCTAGGTACGAAAAGTCTAGCAGATATATATCCACCACGGGGATGGGCTACTGTTTGATAAAAGCATCTCATCAACCAAAAGGGCTTAGACAACGGCTCGGGAGGACAGGGCTCGAGAGGAACTGGAATACTGGAAGAAAGGACCTCTTCATTACCAGGTGTAGCGGGTGAATGAAGTTTGCTGTCGAAAAGGTGCATTCCGCCAGCAGGGAGTCCAGCAGTTGGAGGGGCGCCCATTGGTGTATTAGGTACGATGGTGGGCGTAGCAGGAGTTGCCGACCTCGGAAATGCTTTTCTTAAATTTGAAGTGCTGGATGACGAAAACAGGGGGTTGTGAGGTGTTCCTGGAGACTCCGTGTCGGGACCAACAACATTCCTACTCTTCAAGCTCGCCGATGATTGTATCTGCCTCAGCGAGCCGGGGATGCCAGTAATTCGCGGAGTATATCTGGCTGGAGAACCCGATGCGCCGTAGTCAGATATCGTCTTTGTCAACGGAACACTGAGTCCCGGAGGCTCGAGTGTTGGGGGCGTTGGCGATGAAAGCTTTCTCCCGGAAATTCCTTGAGCTGTTGCTGGAGGTTCCGGCAGCGAGCCGTCCCTCAAGTCGCTAGAGGTGCCCTGTCCGGACGAGGATACGGCTGAAGCTGACTTTGGAGGGGCGTTCAACGGAGGGCTTACTGGTGGTAATGGAGGCGGTTTGGATGGGGGTTCTGAGTCAATTGCCCCCGGTTGTGGTGGCGGCCCACGCGCCAAAGTTGTCGGTACGGCTGTTGTGTTTGATGAAGAAACGGTATTGGAAGTTGACGTTTCAACCTTGAGAGGCTCTGCCAAGGCCGAGAGGCGTCTACTTCTTACACTATTTGAAGCCTTCGTAACCGCAAGCCCCGGGATCGCCGCAATATTAGGGTTAGGGAGCGTTGGCAGTGGTTCCTTAATTTTTTGCACCGACGGTGCCAAGGGCGCCGGCGCTAGTGGCGGTGGTGGAGGTGGTGCCTGAGGAGGAAGCGAGAGTGGGGGTGGGTGAGGCGGAAGGCTTGGAGGTGGGGGTGGAGGTGTTGCTGGAGCTTCCGTCACTGTAGTCAAGAGGGTTCCATTCAGCATATGCGCAGAGCTAACCGAGCTCGCCCATGTTGTCCCAGACGAGTAGCCACTCGAACCCGATTCCCTAGGTAGCATCGAATCGGAATTTGCGGTGGACGCCGACTGTCGGGGTAATGCTGTTTTCGAATCCAGGTTAAATTCAAAATCATCGAGTGTATACCCTCTTGTCATCTCTTCCAGCATTCGCTCCTCCTCATCGGACTCGCCGCCCTCCATATCATCGATAAAGTCCGTATCAGGATCTCTCCTATTCCCGCTAAACCCTAACCTTTCCCTCTCTAATCGCCGTTCCTTCTCCTTCTGTACCTCCACTTCCATTTCCCTCTCCACCTCCCTAACCCTCTCCTTTGCCCTCTCAACATTCATCCTTGGACTTCTCATCATTAACAACTCATCATCACGATCGTACGTGTAGTCTACTTCATAGCCATCATCGTAAGCGGCCTCCACTGCCGCATCAAGCTGAGAATCAAAATCCTCTTCGAATTGCCGCACAATATCCCCCTCCTTCTCCCTCCTCAATTCCCTATCGCCCTTCTCTGTTGGCTTCCTGCTCGTGTACTCAGGCGATGACTCGCCAGATACTGATCCACCAGATTCGTCGATCGTGTTCAGCCAAGACGTGGAAGCCTCGCTTCCCTGTCTGGAATGCGTATTACTCGATGATAAGCCGGATTTCCTATGCGATGATGACCTTCGCGACGAAATCAAGGATGCATCCGACATAGATCTTCGAATACCATAGTCGCGTTCCTTTGCAGGCGAGAATCGAGGCGACAAGGCAGCTGCCCCAAAGGTAAATGACTCCCTATTAGTGCTCTCGTAAACTCCATGGTTCAATCCCTCACCCCTAATAATTACATCCCCCTTTGACGAACGAGGTCGGCGCCCTGGGGAGAGGGGGACCAGGATATGCTCTGCAGACCTGGACCTGGCTATGGGCAGTGGTGGCAGGGGCTCAGAATTCGAGCTCAAATCGGGACCCAAGTACAAAGAATCTCTCCTAGGGGGTACAGCCATCGCCTGCGGGACATCACCGGCATATCGATAATTCCCAATTACCGAGGCAGTGGTAGCGGTTGATATTATTACTGTTGATTCATACAGGCTTTCCTGGTCAGTGAATTCTTCCGTCAATGGCCTGGCAGGCAGTTCCTTCTCGGTCCCTGTAGGGCGCGGTAACAAATCTCGAAGCTCTTCAATTCGCTGGGTATATGTCTCGTGCTACTCCCCCACCCCGATTAGCCACGTGTCTGCAAGATGGCTGATGGCCATCTTCATAACCTTTGCATGGGCCGAGTGAGCGTTTCCCCCGAGGGAGAAGACCCAAGGACAAGAAACTGGGGAAGGGAGCTCACAATGGCCTCTAGTTTCCGCCTATCCTCATCCGCACCAGCCCTCTTCATGACCTGGCCCAGCAAAACACAAGCATCCCCATAGGCTTCCATCGCTCCTTCATAATTCCCGGCATTATCCAAAGTCACAGCCGTGTTGGCTTTCTCAAGTGCCGAAGACAACATTGCCTTTTGTGAATGTGATCGATGCTCGCGCGTTCGAGCTTTGATCGGGTCCTTTCCCCTCTGCAGATTATTCCCCAATGGTTCCCCCAAGTGTTTCCCGACAGCATAGGTAGGATGCAGGGAGTATGCGGGCGGAGGTTTAGGCGGTAATGGTGGTCCCAACAGGGACCCAAAAGCTGTTTCGGGGTGAACCCTCGAGTCTCTATCAGGGTAGACAATTGGAGTGCTGGTAAAAAGGCGATCCGGATTCGCCCTCAACCCCTGGGGAGAAGATTCCCAGAACTGGGAGCCTTCAGAGTTACCCGTGGAAGGAGTTGTTACGGAGGAACTCGTTCCCGAGCTCGTCAAAGGGTTGTTTCCACGTCGCTGGGGCGACGAGGACACAGATGCAGCCCGGGAAACAGCGCCTGTCGAGTGGGAACGCAATCGTAAGGAGGGACGGACTCCCAGCGCAGTCGCAGGTCTCGAAGAAGTGACAACAGTAGCTGTCGTCACAGCAGAAACTTCCACACAGTTACCTCGTGAGTTCCCCAATGTTCCCTCCGTGCTCCCACTTAATCTATCAACGCTCCGATTACCCCTTATTGTCCTGCCGCTATCAGTGCTGTGTTCAGTACGGGCAATGGAGGGCCTCCTCTCAAGAAAATCAGACGACACGTGCGGAGCCGCCGCAACCCCCTTCCCTGATGACGTTGAAGATGTTGAAGGAGTGGACCTATGAGTGGGCTTCGCGGCCTGGTACTGGTAGGTTGTTAGACCGGGGGGTGATGATGGAGGTATCGCTTCAGGTGTCCCACTTGACCGCACCATCCCACCCAGCAAGTATTACTTTTTTTAATCGGAATTAGTACAAATTTTTGTCTTGAGGTTGATGCGCCAGGGGAAAGAAAGGGCTGATGATAGTAGGATGCGCAAGAGGGCTTGATCTAAGCAAACGCTAGCTCTGCTCCGCTGATTGGGGAATCCCTTTCTTCAAAGACCGCTCTCCCCCGAAGAGCACAAAATGTCTATAAAAAAGCCTTGGAGAGAGAAAGAAAAAAAAGAGAAATTCCCCTCCCTCCTCCACCCCAAGGTAACAAGCGGGACAAATGCGCAGAGGTTGAACCCAGGCACGAGGCCCTGCCCCTGAGGACGAAACAGTGGAGGCTGATTCGTCGCCCTCTCTTGGTTGCCGGGTGCTTGGGTGAGTAAGGGTAGCTTGAAGAGGATGCTTCTCTCTTTTCCTTTCTTTCCTTTTTTTCTCCTCTTTCTTTCTTCCCTCCTTCCTCCCCCCTAGCGCTCTTTACCTCTCTTTTCTTCCGGTGACCAATAATTGAATCAATTTTCTTTTCGGATATTTTCTTTCTTTCTTTTTTTTTCTTAATTGTTTGCGATTGCCCCTCCTGTCCTGCTTCCCCAAGAACGAGCACCGGTAGCCGGACTAGGGTTTGAATGGCGGTAGTAGTAAGTGCAATAGTTGGTGTGGTAGACTTCGGGAGGGGGGGGGTGTGGGTACCAATATGTTTTAATAGGGTGAACCGTTTGGCTGGAAATGAGAGTTGAACCCTTTGGGGGGTTGTGGAGGCTGGAAACACAGGTGACAAGGAGAGATTGCTATGTCTCGGAAAATGGGCAGAAACAACAATAAAGTCAAATGTTGACTAAGGAAGAGAGAGAGGGAGGAAAAGAGAAAAGAAGGGAGACAGCGCCGACGGCGAACGAAAAATGATTATGATGACGACGCCAAACCGATTAAGAAACTGACACAAAATGTGTGAAAGAGGAGAGGTTGTTGGAACGTTCCTGCCGTTACGGCTGGGGGAGGGGGGACAAGCGGACCAGATGGAAGGAACAGACAATTCAGGAGATTTACCTCCGATCCGTTAGGGGTTAGCTTGAGAGGTCTACCTTTGTGGAAGGGGGTACCGTCGGGAAGCACAGTACTGTAAGTTACTCGCGCAAAAACTGCAAGCAAGAAGTGCAATTTACAGCAGAAAAAAGTAAGGAGACAAAGGGAACTGTAACAAATAAGGAGTTGCACAAAGATTAAGAAACTAAAGTCGAAGAAGAAAAAGATGATGGTAATGATGATACCGTAGTGCTCTTTCCTTGGAAGAACAAAAGTAGAGCACTTGTACGAGTACTCGAGTACCGTATGTCAAAGTTCAGAGACACCCCTTCCCGTTCCCCCTTTTCCGTCCTTTTGCCTTCGGGGGGGGAGGGGGCTTCTCAGTCTGTTTGGCCCTTCCCTCCCCAAGCGCGCAAACATACACTCCCTCACTCCCCCCCCCCCGTTCCCTCGCAAACTGAATTCAACTCAAACACAGCGCACCGCGAACTGATGGAGCCACCCTCAGAGACCTTCAACTCCCCTCTCTTTTTCTTCCTTTTTCAATGGCTCGCCCTCCCTCTTGTAGTTTCTATTTCCGGATGGTGAATTATCTCTTGGCTCAATAGTTCATTTGACGCCAGTCCAAACCAAGATAGACCCTGCCTATGGCATCCGCAGGGCCACAAAAAAAAACATGAATCCTTCCTTCTCCCTTCCGGTATGTTATGTATGCACCTTACCGATATTGTACGAGTACTCCAGCACTCGTATGCCAAGGAGGTGGGGGTCGGGGAGAAAACAGTGCGATATGTCCCGGTATAATATGATACGAGTGTCATAACTGTGGAAAGGGAGAAGCAAAAAAAATAAAAGAAAGAAAGAGCAGGAGGAAGACGACCTGCAGGCCACGCACAGGTACTCGTACAGTGCACCACAATGCTCCACGCGAGAACATGCAACGCCGCACAACCAAGGAAAGATGGGCTGGGGATGGAGGATACAGATAAGGTGGGCTGTCAGCGCTTGAGTGCTCACAATACCGATACTCGTACGGTACTGTGCAAGTACTCGTAGCCCGATGCACAGCGCGCACATCAAATCAATTCAGGGAAAGAGCAGGCTCCAGTACTACCGATATGACTTTTAATGTAACGGAGAGTCGGAGTGCCAACATGGATATGGCTACCGTAGGTGCCCAAGGAACTCATCAGCCCATGCCCATAACAAGATGGACTTGACCCTCCCCCGTACCGGTACTCTGGAGCACAAGATCGTGCTTGTACTCGTACTGTACTCGAGTGCCAGTACTCGAGTACAAATGAGGAGAGACAAGCAAGGAGCCGGGGAAGAAAAGGCAACAAGACCTCGATCCCGAGGCGAAGCGAAGGGGCGCGGAGGCTGGATGGTTGGCAGCAGGATGGCAGGAGATTCGGTACGGTACGGGAATGTAACTATCCGCCAGCACACTAGCCGAACCGTTCTGTTCAACGTTGGCGATTGTGGTGCAGACACGGCACTTTTACTCTGCCTTACGAGAACTGGTGAGAGCAGAGTATCGCGGGCGGAGCGAACAAGCCCGGGGTAAACTGTTTCGGCGGTGATACAGAGAAGGCATCGCGGACAGCCTTGCCCCTGGGCCAAGGCACGATAAGGTGGGGAGAGCCCAGTCGCACACACTCATGATACTGTACCTTTTGCTCCTCCTCCCGCTCCTCGCTTCTGCGCTTCGCAATGCCGGCAGCTGGGCAGCTAGATACAGTACTCGTGCTATAGATATGCCGGTACCGTATCCCGCTCGGCCAATTCAAAGCTCATCTTGAAAGTCCACCTCCCGCCCTATCGGTATATCGCCGTGCACTATTTCAATCGTCAACACCAAAACTACCCCCGACCTTCCATCCCAAAGTCACATTACCGCTACCGGTACCTATAAAGTCGCACAACAAAACCCCACATATTCTTCCGCAGGCAACAGACAAGCGTAGCGAAAGAATCCCATCCCATCTGCTAGGCGTGCGGCACGATGCTCTATTTTATTGTACCCACCGCATATCTCACTCGCTTTCCACTAGAAAAGTCATTGGGGGCGGAGGTGTACTCGAGTAAAGAGTTGCAGTTTTTCTGTCATCCCTTCCCAATCCTGCACTGCACGGTATTCCTCCAAGTTGAACCCCTGGAACACAGCATCTGAGAACCGCAGCGCCGGGACTTGACCTTGGAGCCGCGCAAGTCATGTGTTGTTGCACCGCAGCGGTTACAGTAGGGTTTGGTTTCCTCTCTTGCCTGTGATTGGCCAGCCCGCTGGGGCACCATTCGTGATTCGTGACTGCACTCGCGCAACGGGATAATACCGTTGGCGCCGAGAGAAAGGGGGGTTGGATCGGTTGATTGGTTGGGAGAGCATTTGTGGTGAGGATGGCAGGAAAGGGCAACAATTATTTTTCACTTTTTCACATCGCTACCGGTAACTTGCTGTTGCGCTGCCGATAGGGGTGAATGGCCTTCAGTAACTGTTGGTGTGAGCGGTAAGGTGACCGTCCAGCCGCAGCGCGGACTACCAGTAAGCTTACCAAAGTTTGTTGCGGTATCATACCGTACCGGCAGTCCACTCGAGCATGCTCTTGGGGTTGGTCGCCCGGAGGCGGAATTGGATGGCTAACAGAACTGGCTTTGATTATCAGGGCTAGCCGGCCGACGGTTTTTGCCATGGTGGACGAGGGGTTTCGCGCTTTAGGAAAGTGATGAAGAAGGGAGGTCCATCCGCAGTAACTGGCCTACAGGTACCGGTAGTTCATCCCAGCACGGCCGGATCGATGATACCCACAGAAAGATTCCCCAAACGCTTCCTTCACGAGCCGATACCACGGACACTCTGACAAGGGACAAGGTGAAAATGCCTGAGATGCCATCGATTTCTGGGTAAGCCTGTCAGCCCCCGGGGCATGCGAGTACCGGTAAAAAATACTATCCCCCTGTCACACACCGGTAAAGACATCTATCGGCGCGGATGCTATTGATTTATAGAGTGGAAATATTGCTAAAGTGGTTCCCTGGTAACTTAAGGTATGTTTTGCATGGCACACGGACCTAGAGTTACCAATCTTGGCATTTTCGGTCCACCGCTTCACAAAAGCCTGCTTAGATTTATTCTCGGATTCTTTTTTGACAAGGAGTTGAACAGGCTTAAACGAATGAAGTTCCTATGGCGGCGGGGGGTGAGATGTGTGTATTTTATTGTCTGCGCTGGACAACGGTACCGCGCAGACGCGTACGAGTGCCCGAGTACGTACTCGAACACAGCATGCTACTGTATGCTAAACAAGCAGTCCATCCCTGCAAACGATGGCACAAGCACTGCACTCGAGTACTGCCGGCAGTACAGTACTGTACGAGTACTCGTACTTGTATTGCCAACCTTCCCTCCCGCAACAAGCCCACACCTTTGGTCATACCGTACTGCACCGCAGACAATCCAGCCAGCCCACCCACCCAGCAGAACCCCACGAACACTCGACGGAAAAAGCCAGCACCCATAATCCGGGGAACTCGTAGCATGAAGAAGGTACGCTACCGGTACCCGAAAACTGGGATTATACAGATACTCGAGTACTTGTACCGGTGCAGGACATGGCAATAAAATCCGTGCTCATCTCAGCTCCCCGTACCGTAAATTACCGGTACCGTACTTGTACGAGTACAAGCACCAGAGTACTAGGGGGTTGTTAAAAGGCATGACCCTGCCTCCGGAACGATGACCGTCCCCAAATCCATTCCTTCCTTCCTTCCTTCTTCCTTCCTTCCTTCCTTCCCCCCCCCCCGTTCCATGGAGGATACTTGCAACAAGCCTGCCAATCAACGAACCAAGTAATAACTAAACATCCGTGCCCTCGAGCGTAACCCGGAATCCCCCCCCCCTTCTGAATCAATTAATACGGTACTCGAGTAGACAGCAGAGAATCCATAACCTGGTTACACTCGAGTACAAGCAAGAACAACCTTCACGGGCATGGTACAGTGTACAAGCAGGGGTATGTATTGTCTGTGCAAATGTCTGTGTGTTAACAGCGAAGGGAAAGAAGAGTACGGATTGTTCCATTGCTATCCTCAAAGCTTACTAGTTCCCCCCCTCCATCCTGTAACAAGAACAGTGGTCCGGTTTCATTGACAATTGGGAAGCAGGCGGTGCTAGCCTCTAATGGAATATAATTCTTTTCCCCAGACAAGATGCACAGAAATCAACACACGGACATTGATACCCTGGTTTGTCCCAATACTTTATTTACCACCCCTACTCGAGTACGGTACCCCGAGTAAAAGTACAGCACCTATCCCCCCCCGTATTGAGTGACCGAACGCAGGGATCAAAAAGATTTGCACGGTGTGGTGCAAGCACTCGGGTATGAAAAACCTACTGTATGCGTGCGCGTCCAGGCGTCCGTACCGGTACCATACCACCGCACTCGTACTTACAGCGCTCGAGGCAAACGCCTCTCAGCCTTTTCCAACCTCTACCGAACTGAGCGCCGACTGCGCTACAACCGCTATACTCAGTGTTCTATCTGTCACAGCTATGGACATCACACCAACAAATGCGTCAGCTCTGCAAGCTGCCGTTGGTGCACTCTTTCGCACGCCACTAGGGATCACACTTGTCCCACCTCCACCTGTCGTGTCCACGGTCGCCCCTGCAGCCACTCTTCTGTTCAGTGTATTAACTGTGATGGACCTCACGACGCCCACTCCCTTACCTGCCCCCTTCGCCCCCAACCAGCCCCGTTAGGGGCTGGGGAAGGGGTTGACGATGAGGTGGATATGTCAACCACCTGACCTTGGTTTTCTTTAGGGCTTTGGTTTCTTTTCTTTCTGTTGCATCGGTGTATGCACGGCTATACCTTGTTTACCTCCCAGGTTGGAAGCCTGTTAGGGGTTTATTACTTTACCATGTATGGGCCCAAGGTATGCGAATTGGGCGTCGGCTCTAATCTGTTAGTCATCTGAAGCGATGCGGGGAGCTATATTATCTCGAAATGGGGGTCATTCACCAGGCTTGGTCTGTGTGGGCCTAGGGAGGTTTGGAAGCCGGGAAAGATATGTTTTTTTTGTTCATGCATGTGAAATTAAGGTTTTTTCTATTGCCATACCGCGAGGTGCATGCAGGTTTTTGAGCCATAATCAATAAACGTATGAATAAAAAAAATAAAAAAAAGTACTTACAGCGCTCGAATATGGCACCGGTATTGTATTGTACCAGTACTCGAGTATGATACTTATACGGGTACATTCGGGCTCAAATGTTCCGATGCTCTTGCCCCTGGGCGTCTGTACCACTTGTGTGCGGTACGTGCACCCGGGGGGAAAGCCGGTATCGGGGAACAACGGGTGCTCGAGACGGGCTTCGTTTGGGATGGCCGGGGTGGATTAATAATCGTCCTGATTTACGCCCCGATTTCTTTTTTTTCCCCTTCCTCACTACCGGTACATGGTATAAATGGGTCAAGCTTTGGAGGGAGGCGGGTGGGCCTACGGTAGGGGAGGTATGTCGTGCTTAACTGTCGTTTCACCGCTGTACGCGAGTGAGCGTCTATCTCGTGAGATGATGATCTCCTTGATGTCGCTAGATGTGTAATGGCTTGGTTTTTAGGGGAGGGGGAGGGGGGGAATTCAGAATACCGGTATGGGCGTTTGCATTGACGGTCCTACAGTACCGTACAAACTATTTTATGCTCTGCGCTGGTTTTGTATCGGGATTTGGTTTGATAGGTGGGTTTGTGGCGGACCGCCTATAAATCCATCCATCCACCCCCACTTGCCCTTATCCATCATATGGTACTGATATACCGTGATATGAGAGTCGAGTAGGATATCTCAGTGGAATCCGTGAACAGCGTATCGCGCCCACACTTCCATCCTCGGAGTGATATGCCAGAATCATACCCACTCACTCGCGTTACTACCCCAACCCTTCTGTCCCACATACCGGTATCACATATCAGGGCCTACCTGGGAAAGCGCACTTCACCCCCTCTATGTCAAACACACGCGCGCACTCGATCCTTGGGTGATACAGGTGCCCTGGGCAAAATTCTTGTGTGTCAATGCTTATTCTATTCACCTTGGGCAAGTACTATAATACCGGTACTCTACCGAAAAAAAAACTCTGTATTCCTATCGCCTCGTTTCTTGTTGCCTAAAGAATTCATGAACCTAAGCGAGTTCTTAGGGCTTAGGTTGCGCTTACATAATATCTTGCTATGATAGTGGGCCATCCAGGAAAGAGCCGCATTGCCAAGACGTCAGTGCTCAGTGTCACTTTGAATTTTTTTCATGTTGACTCGCCTAGTGAGCTGCACTGATAGTCGGTACAAGACAATTGCCCTGCCACGGAAAGGAAAAAAAATGTCAAAACGAGCGATTGATGATGTGGAAGCCGAGGCAGCCGCCGTTGATCGAGTGAAGGGGAAGAAGGAGAAAAAAGAGAAGAAGGCTGGGAGGGATGTGGTTGAGAATGATGTCAAAGTTGGTGTAGATGGGGCTATGGAGGGGGAGGCGAAGGAGAAGAAGGATAAGAAAGATAAGAAGAGGGAAAAGAAGCTGAGGAAGGCTAAGAAGAAGATTGAGGAGGCAATTGTTGCTGGAGAGGGAGTAATGGACGTGGATGTTCTGGATACTTTGGAAGCCCAACCGCAGCTAGAGAGGCCCTCGAAGGAGGAGCGAAAGGCGGCGAGAAAAGCTGCAAAGGAGGCAAAGAAGAAGGCAAGGAAAGAAGCCGATAGCAAATCTAACAGAAGGGCCTTTTCCTCCACCCCGTCGGATACCCCTGTGCCGCCAGTTTCTTACTCGATACCGTCCGGTCCTCCTGCCATTTCCTCGGGATACACGGAGAACTCGGAACTAACCTCTCTACCAAAACCCACGATTGACGGATTCCTCACAGAGCACGCTATTGCGATCACAGATCCCCACAACTCCAACCTCAGACCTATAACTTCCTTCTCTTACCTTCCCTCCAACTCATTCGACTTTACTGGCTTCACGAGCCCAACACCGATTCAAGCGGCGACATGGCCATTCACATTGTCCGGCTACGACTGTATCGGCGTTGCAGAGACTGGGTCTGGGAAGACGCTTGCGTTCGCTGTTCCTGCGATTAGACATATTATTGCGTTGAAAGCGAGACAGAGGTCTTCGAAGGGCGTGCGAGCTCTTGTCGTCTCGCCGACGAGGGAGTTGGCAATGCAGATATATGATAGCATGGAGAGGTATTCCAAGGAAGCACGACTGTCTACAGTGTGTGTCTACGGCGGTGTGCCCAAGGATGAGCAGAGATCAAAGCTCAAGAAAGCGGATATTGTCGTCGCAACTCCGGGACGTCTAAACGACCTGATCGACGAAGGCTCTGCGGACCTCAGTAATGTCTCATACCTAGTCCTTGACGAAGCAGACAGAATGCTCGATAAAGGTACCTTCTCGCACCATCCAATCCAATTCTCTGGTTCTGTAAATGCTAACCATTCCGCCATCCCACAGGCTTTGAGGAGGACATAAAACGCATAATTCGCGCCATCCCCTCGCCCACCCGCCAAACCCTAATGTTTACCGCAACCTGGCCGCAATCCGTGCGAGAGCTCGCCTCAACCTTTATGACCTCGCCAACTAAGATAACGATCGGAGATAGAGACGACCTGCGCGCGAACGTGCGTATCGCCCAAACCGTCGAAGTGATAGACCAGCACGCCAAAGAATCCCGCCTCGTCGCTCTGCTAAAGCAACACCAATCCGGCAGCCAGAGCGAGGATAAAATCCTCGTCTTCTGCCTCTACAAGAAGGAAGCCATACGTGTCGAGAACTTCCTCCGCTCTCGCGGGCTAAGAGTAGCAGGCATCCACGGGGACCTAAGCCAGGCGCAGCGAACCCATGCTCTGGCGCAATTCAAAGACGGGAAGTGTCCACTTCTGATAGCGACAGATGTCGCGGCTAGAGGACTGGATATCCCGAAGGTCAAGTTGGTGATTAACGTCACCTTCCCTCTCACGATCGAGGACTACGTGCACAGGATTGGGAGAACAGGGAGGGCTGGGGCGACTGGGATGGCGTATACCTTCTTCACGGAACACGATAAACCGCATTCGGGGGCGCTGGTTAACGTTCTCAAGGCCGCCAGGCAGCCGGTCCCTGAGGCGTTGCTTAAGTTTGGAACCACGGTTAAGAAGAAGGAGCATGCGGCGTATGGGGCGTTTTATAAGGAGACTGATGGGTTTGTTTCTCTGCCGTTTTTTTTTCTTTTTTTCTTCAGGGAGGCGTGGGGCTAATTTCAGGGATAGGAAGCAAACGTCGAAAAAAATCAAGTTTGATGATTAAGCCTAGATTTGCACTTTTATATTGGGTAGACTGGGTCTTGTCTGCTTGGCTTTGTATTTGGGATGGGTTGCATAGAGTTGTCTGCGCTCTTGGATAAATGTTGGCCTACACACCATACAAGCACCTGTAGAAATAAGTCATGTCATAATATTATCGTATCATCCGCGTAGTGCTCTCTGCACGTTGATAATCACCCTTCCCCCACCCGCCGCCCTCCGTGCATCCGGAGGCTAGTACACTAAAACCTGCGACCATGTCCAGCACCTCACCTCACAAGAGCCACGACGCAGAGCGGGAGCGTGTAATGCAAAAGCGGCACAACAACCTGATGCTACTGTACCAACCAACCAACTCAGTTCACCACCCATCACTCGTCTGCTCCCAGAACTTTTCTGCCACACTGGGGAAAACTATCATCCCAAAATCTAAACCCGCCACTCGCCTGCCAGTCCGATTTGCGGGTGCCGTGTGGTAGCTTCGAGAGACTGTTCGAGGTTGTTTCCCTTGCCCTCACTCATTGCACGGTCGTACTGGCCACGGTGGGATCACGAGCGGTCTGTGGTGGGATCGTTCAACCAGGGCGGGTGTAATACGATAAGGTGAGCCAGGTCCGTCCAACTTCTGTGCGGAAAATATAAATGGCTGCTTGCCGCGGTATCCTCCGCTAGCCGGCGAGTATTAGTTATAATCAATCCCACCTCGAAGGCTCTTTCTTTCGCGATAGGTTTGGAATGTGGGAGACAGGTGGGATATAAGTTTCCGTCTATGCTTACGGCACCTACAGACCATGCGAGTGACCGGGGATACATACTCAGCGGGTTAAGTCGATCGCCCTACCTTTTTTTTTTTTCCTTGAAGGCCGTGTGACTCAGCGAGTGCCGGGGAGAGGGGGGTAAGGGTGGGAGGATATTCCGGGAATGCGGGGTAGTTTAGCATGGGCTTGGATGTGGTTTAAACCGGGCAGATAGATGGACGGACGAACCGTTGGTGCTGAGGAAAAGAGGTGGGTATGGATAATTGTGGGGAGTATGATCTGATTAGAGGAAAGAAAAAAAAATGGGATGTGGATACCGTATATACACCGCTGAGAACTCACGAAAGCCCTTCGCAAACTCGTGTGCGGAAAGAGTGATAGGGATAAAAGTGGGAGGGGGCTGAATAATGAATGCTGGGATTTGTGTCCGGGGTTGACTATTGATGAGAACGTGATTATGGAAATATATCTTGCGATCTATATAACCCGTTGATCTTGTTCTCTTTTTCGACAGTGTTACGGCGGTCTGGCACGTGGAATGACTGGACACCTCTCGCACCCTGGCCAATCCCTCCTCGCCCATAGGCGTATGATATAAGGAAACGCAGCCAGCAAGTTATGGCGGGGCACTTTTTGCAATGACTCGGACTGGGAGGCGGGGCTGGGGCATTTCGTGATAACGTTGTCCATGAATTGCCTAGCTGAGGTCAACTCGCCCCTTCGCGATCTTTCAGAGGAGTGAATGTGACTGAAGTTTGATTTCTAATACTCATGTGGGGGTGGACATTGTATCGGAAAAGGGAGGGTGATTTTTTTAAATGTCCTCCCTTGGTAGTGGAATAAGTTGGTGTTTGGTTAATGGGAATTGCTGTTGAGTTGGGGTCGGCATCGGTACGTTCAGTAATATCTTCACGACTCCCTCATGACCCCCCCCCCCCCCCCCCGGAAGATCGGCTGATTGGTGTTTTATCATTGTCTTCTGAATTGTGGTAGACATCGGCTTGTTCCTGTGGTCTCTTTATAGCCTTCATCGCAATGGCATGACAAATTTCATAGACAAGCAAAGTGACGTTTCGCAAGTTGTATCCGTGTCAACACTGCAACCCCCGATCTTGCCTTGCAATCTGCCCCGCGCTTCATTCTCTAAAATAACGGTAAGGTTAGGTGTGCGCCGTATGTAAAACGGAACCAAATATTCCAATCCTTCCATAGATTGCCACACATATCTCTCTTCCTCCCATCCATGGCCCAACTCCTCTGTACACTCCCGTAATAAGAAAGGAAAGACATGTCTACAGAAGCTTCTCGTTAAATTACTAGATCGCCGGAACCGTCCACAGTGCTCCCCGGGTATCCACTACTCCTATCACTCCCGGGATAATCTACAACATCATATTGGTGTTCTATGACTGCTAACAGCAAGGGATATGAGAAAAAGTTTGGTGATTTTTGAGAGTGGAGGATGCTTTCCTCCGATATGCCCCCGTATATCTCGGGAGCCTTGGGCCATAATATTATCTTAGGAGACTTCTGGCCATATTTACCGGTACCTGGGCACTCTTCTCACATTAATCTCAATAGGGACTTTCAAACGCAACATTTCAACCAGACTCATCATAAAGGGTGCAGATAACTAGGGATCTGAGCTCTTGTAGGGTGGGATTCAAGCCTGCATGGAATTGTGAGTCCTCTCAAACAATTGTCTTCTCGACTGGGGGAAATGCACTATGGAATAGGGTAGCAATGACCAATCCATCACTCTTTTCCTTCCCGCCATTCTTTAAACTTTCTAGTTTTGAGCATCCACTCCAGCACCCTCAAAACAACTGCTGCCAGCGTGGTGACACCTTTCCTATATGCGCGGTCTTTTACAACCCAATCTTTGCGATACGAGACTGAACTTCTACTCGAATAGAGTGGCGGGGATGAGCGCAGAGAATGAGGCTGCTAAGACGGTCTATTACACCTATCAGCCACATGGTTCTATCTTGGTACTGAAAGAACATCCAATTGGAAATCAAGGATAGAGCAATCCAATATCGTCTCTTGTAGGGGGAAGTTTCTGGGCACCACTAAAGCACCTATACTGTACTCGAGCACTGCACTGCGACATGGCAACACTGGGTCGAGCCCTTCACACTGACTGACACTTGGAACTGAAACCATAATGACCAAAACGGTGACTATGTTGCCACAGAATATACTAGCAGCCAAGGGCAAAGAGAAGAGAAAGCCTCGCTGAAAACAATAAAAGGTTAAGAAGGTATAGAAGGCTATGAACTTAAGAAGATGTTCACTACAACTCCTTATTGCACAGATGTCTTGTCCTATCATGCTGGATAGGTTTTCTTTAGTGTGGGGCGCTGGCAGCTGAATCGGGAAGGACACCTCGCCTGATACCCTATCGCGTAGAGTACTATCTAATGGTGTGGGCATACCGGTCTTGCAGAGAAGCTCACAAAGTCAGCGTACCTAGCGTAGTCGACCCCCCCCGGAGGAATATTTGTCTTATTAGGGAGGGTATCGTTTTGAGTTCACAAATTACCTTTCGCCATGCATCCCAACTGGCGTGCAAGGCGTAAGTTGAGGTGGGAAGTTAGATCCCCGAGTAAATGTATCGAAGGGGACACTTATGGTGGGAGAGATTTCAAAAACGGCACCCGGGCCTTGACACATCAAGGGAGGGAAAAGAAAGGCACTGCCATGATTGCCAAAGACCCAACAGAATATGTGGATGTTACGGGGTCAAGTTTTTCTCAACCTTTTATCACCAAAGTTGAAATATCTCGGTGATCTTACGAATTTCTCATTTTTGACCTTGTTCGATATTTCTCATCTAGTGTTATGGAATGAGTCGATAGATGCGCTGTATAATCAACATATTACGGCTGGAGGCCGAGGATCTAGTGTTAAGCTTGCCACGCCTTGCACCAACTAGCACACGGTGGAAGGGGGACGAGGCGAAGAGTGCAGGACACATCGGGCAAGGGGAAACAAGGTAAAAAAAGGTCGGTTGGAGCTGCGTGTTATTGGCCGTTTGGTCCGGGTAGCGTTAGAATTGCTATATGCTTGGGGATCCAGATGGTAATGCTGATGCCCAACCAGCTGCGTCTCAAAAGGTACCCACATTCCGGGATATGGAATGAGCTGTAACACCTCACGCGCAAGTCCGTGGTAAAAAAAATCCCTTGTGCATGGGAACCAGACATGTTGGAATACAAGCAGAAGGCCTGTTTCTAGATAAAACGGGTCTCTTTTCTACTCCTGGGCTCGTGAACTGCCAAGGAGCAAACGGAAAACAATCGCCCCTTGTTGGTCTTTGACCATATCTGGAGAGGGGGCAACGTGTAAGCCGGATGATGCACCAGTACCTTTACGGATTGAGCCCCAAGAAATGTGGGTTAATGAGCATTGGTTAGCTGCTATTGTGTTGGGTTGGTGACAACTTCCACAGCCTGACAAAGCCTTGCTGTTCGCCGTTACCCGCCACCACCCCCCCCCCCCCCCACGCACAATTAACCAAGCAAGACGAAGAAGGAAACGAAGAAAACACGAAGGTATAACAAACAAATAACTGAAGACATCCTAAGTACGGTGGTACTATAGTAAGAGAGAGGATTGTATCACCGGTTCAAGTGATAATACCCGTGGATCATACTCCCTCACTCGGTGGTCGAGATTCTGCCGGGAAGGTCTGTATCAGCCTGGAACATGGTTTCGTCGCCCCGTGGGTGCTGGCGCTACTACCCCCATTCTTGACACTCACACCATCCTTACCTCTCGGGTTCCCCCTGCCCCAACCTTTCCCGCTACCCCTCCCTCTCCCGCTACCACCCCCACCACAATTGTGCCTTCCATCTATATCATCGCTATTCCTCTCAACCCCTAATTCCACCCGCCGGGAAAGAAAAGGAAGGATTCAGCTCAGCTTCCTCCTAAAAGAGGAACGCAACCAAAGGAAAGAGAAGAGTAGAAAAAGAACTCACACTCCTTTCTTCCTTGCCACACCCTCTCCAATCCCTCCCCGGCCTCCTCCCCTTCGACCCCCACGCCCCCAATAAACTCCCCCAGGACGCCTACACAAACGACCCTCACAACCTCCAAAAACACCAGACTTTTACCAACGAACACCCCTCGTTCGTCCAGCACCACCCGCACCGGCGCGCGCCCGTAAAACTCGGGCGTGGGCGCTATAGGTAGGAATGAGAGCGCCTGCTCAGGGGTCAGGCCAGTGGCCCCGCGATTC